TGCAGTTCCTCGCTGCTCCCTTTTGCTGCTCCAGTCATGTTAGCCAAAAGCTTTGCTGCCACAATTTGCTGCTGCTGTCGTTGCTGCTGCTGCTGCAGTCTCTTTGGCACCCAAGTTTCCCAAGGCCCTCATCTTGGGGTTAGAGATTCGTGAGAAGGTTAGTTTTGCTGCTGCTGCTGTTGTTGCTGTTGCTGCTGTTGCTGCTGCTGGAGCTGTGGCTGCTGCTACTGTTGCTGCTGCTTTTGTTGCTGCTGCTACTGCCGCTGCTGGTGCTGTTGCTCTTGCTGCTACTGTTTTTGGTGCGTCTGCTGCTGTCTCTGGCTGTGATATTCATTTCATCTTGCTGCTGCTGCTGCTGCTGCTTCTGCTGCTGCTGCTGTTTGTGTATCACTTGTGCTGCTGCTTGCGACGTGCTGCTGCTGATACCGCGGCGCCTGGTGACTGTGATGTGCTGCTGATGCTGCTACTGCTGCTGCTGCTGATGCTGCTACTGCTGCTGCTGCTGCTGCTGCTGCCTGCAGGTGACGAATTACGTTGGAGAGAGAATAAAGGCCTTGAGAGAAGAGCACAAAGCGGAAGGACTTGTGAGCAGCAGCAGCAACAGCAGCAACAGCGTCATCAGCAGCAGCAACAGTAGCAGCAACAGCAGTAGCAGCAGCAGCAGTTGAGACAGCAGCTGCGATAGGGAGAGATATAGCAAAGAGTGCGACGGTGGCTGCAGCAGGCCGTGCTGCTGCTTTTGCTACTGCTGCTGTTGCTGCTGCTGCTGGTGTTTCTGTTTCTTTTGCTGTTGCTACCCCCTTTGAACTCATTGTGAGTTGCTGCTGCTGCTGTTGCTGCTGCTGCTGCAGTACCAAAATGTGGCCGTCATCCGCACAAATGCTTCGAAGTTTTTGCTGAACTATTTCAGAAAAGGACAGGTAATGCTGCTTCTGCTGCTGCTGCTGCTGCTGCATTTGTTGCTGCTGCGTCTGCTGCTGCTGCTGCTTATACTGCTGCCGTATCTGCTGCTGCTGCAGCAGCCGCCAGTACTGCTGCTGCTGCTGCTGCTAGCTGGTGCAATCGCAGCCGGTGCAACTTGTCTTTGAGAAGCATGGTAGCAGCAGCAGCAGCAGCAGCAGCGGCAGCAGCAGCAGCAGCAGCAGCAGCGGCAGCAGAAGAAGCAGCAGCAGCAGCAGACGCAGCAGCAGCAAATGCAGCAGCAGCAGCAGCAGCAGAAGCAGCATTACCGGGGGTACCGAGCTCGAATTCACTGGCCGTCGTTATACACTAAACCCTACCGCAAGAAACTGTTGAGATGACAGTTTTGAAGTGGCTGTTTTGTGGATAGTACTGCAGCGGCTGCATTTGCTGCTGCTGCTGCTACCGCAACTGCTGCCGCAGTTTGCTGCTGCTGCTGTTCTGTTTCTTCTCGTTGTCTCTGCTGCTATATTTTTTGCTGCTGCTGTTGCTGTTCCTATTGCTGCTTCTGCTGCATTGGTTGCTGCTATTGCTTCTGCTGCATTTGATAATCCTGTTGCTGCTGCTGCTGCATTGCTGCTGCTGCTGCGTTTGCTGCTGCTGCAGCACACCCTTGCTGACTCTTTATGCGTATGTGCTGAAGCCCGGAGGACTTATCTACACAGGTGCGACTGCTGCTGCTGCTGCTGCTGCTGCTGCCGGTGGTGCTGCTGCCGGTGGTATCCGTGCTGCTGCAGCACTGCTGCTGCAACACTGCTGCTGCAGCACTGCTGCTGCAGCACTGCTGCTGCAGCACTGCTGCTGCAGCACTGCTGCAGCAGCTTGCTTTGCTGCTTCTTGCTGAGTCAGCAGGCCAGACGAGCTGCTGCTGCTAGCGCTGCTGTCGCTGCAGCTGCCCTTCCTGCGGCATGTGCTCTACCTGTTGCTGCTGCTGCTGCTGCTGCTGCTGCAGTGACGGACGTGGAAGCTGTGCACGAATGGATGGTGCATGCGCTGCGCTGCCATCCCCTTTTTGCTGCTCTCGATTTAAAAGAATTAAAAGATGATTGCTGCCTTGCTGCAATTCTAAGCGACACAGAAGAAGGCATGAAGGTCAGCGTTTGCTGCTGCTGCTGCAGTGCTGCTGCTGCTGCAGTTCTGCTGCTGCTGCTGTTGCTACAGTGCTGAGGTTGCTGCAGTGCTGGTGTTGCTGCAGTGCTGGTGCTGCTGCTGCTGGTGTTGCTGCAGTGCTGGTGCTGCTGCTGTTGCTGCTGCAGTGCTGGTGCTGCTGCTGTTGCTGCTGTAGTGCAGGTGCTGTTGCTGCTGTGCTTGTGCTGCTGTGCGGGCACTGCTGCTGCTGCTGCTGCTGCTGTGAACATGCTACTGACGCTGATGCTGCGGTTGCTGCTACTGCTGCTGCTGCTACTTCTTTTCAATCCCATTTCTTAATTTCCTTTATTTGATGGAACAAAACAGCAAATTGTCCTTTATTACCATTATATTTTTTTCTTTTTTCATTTATTTATTTATTTATTTAGTTATTTATTTATTTATATAAATTGTTGTTTTGGATGTTTTGCTGCGCAGGCCAAAAGAGAAGGCAGGGCTTCATACACTGCAGTCTTCAGGCGCCTTTAGCCGCCCTCGAGGGTTTAGGGTTTAGGGTTTAGGGTTTAGGGTATAGGGTTTGCTGCGGCCCTGAAGGCGTGGGGCCCTTCGCCGCGCAGCTGAGCATCTTGGCTTCTTTTTTATCTTTTTACTTTATTTATTTATTTATTCATTTTATTATTTTATTATTTTATTTATTTTATTTATTTATTATCATTTATTATTGTATCATTAATTAACTAATTAATTTATTTATTTATTTAAGAGGTGCTCAACGAGTTACTGGCCAGCGTTTGTTGCGCAGCCGCGACCTCAAACCCCAAACCCCAAACCCTAAACCCTAAACCCTAGGCCTGAGATGCACACGGTCAGGCTCTGAAGTGACTGTGCCGAAACGCCAAACCCTAAACCCTAATCAGCCGAGGGCTGGACGCTAAACCCTAAACCCTATTGTGGCTCCTCGGGTCTTCAGACACTATCTTAGGGTTTAGGGTTTAGGGTTTAGAAATTAGAGGCAAAATCGACGCTGCATTGTTATATTGATTCACTTTCAGATCAAAGGAAACTGCTGCTACTACCTGTTGCTGCTGCTGCTGCTGCTGCTCTCATATTGGGGGTCCCCTGGGGGCCCCCTGGGGGCCCCCAGGGGGCCCCCCAGGGTATTAAAGCCTGCTGCATCATTCATGCTGCATTTATTTTGTTTTTCCTCTTACTTTAGTGTTTTGTTTCAAAGATATAGTGTGTAAGGACACTGGAATAAGGGTTTAGGGTTTAGGGTTTGGGGTTTAGTGGTTGGGGCTCAAGACTCACAGGGCTTCAAGCAGCAACGGCAGCAGCAGCAGCAAAGCCATCAGCAGCTGCAACAACAACAGCAAAGTTATGGTCATTATCAGCGTCAGCAGCAACAAAGCCATCAGCAGCAGCAGCAGCAGCAGCAACCCCAGCAGCAGCAGCAACAGCTGCAGCAGAAGCAGCACACTTGTGCGTTCTCTCCCGCATGGCCTTACATTTCCAGGACCCCTAGGGTTTAGGGTTTAGGGTTTATGATCGAGGGTTTTCAGTTTGGGGCCTAGGGGTTAGGGCTTAGGGTTTAGGGTTTAGGGTTTAGGGTTTAGGGTTTAGGGTTTAGGGTTTAGGGCGATGGCCTCGCGGCGGCGCGTGGAGCGGCTGCTGCTGTGCGGGGGCTGGCCTTTATCTGGAGTTGAATTTTTAAAGTTCGAATTGAAGGCCCCAGCTCACAAACACAAGCTCTACAGGCGAGCTAGGGTTTAGGGTTTGGGGTTTAGGGTTTAGGGTTTAGGGTTTAGGGTTTGGGGTTTGTGGACTGGGGTTTGGGGTCTGGAGTTTGGGGTTTAGGGTTGGCGATTTGGTGTTTAGGGTTGGGGGCTTGGAGTTTAGGGTTGGAGATTTGCGCTTTAGGGTTTAGGGTTTAGGGTTTAGGGTTTAGGGTTTAGGGTTTGTTTGCAGTGAGTTTGCCAAAGGGTTTCTGCCTGGCCTTCGACTGGCGAATCCGAAAACGAAATTTCTTCTGTTTGAAGGAGCAAAGCGAAACTCCCTTTCATTAGGCCTCGGTGAGGGTTTAGGGTTTAGGGTTTAGGGTTTAGGGTTTAGGGTTTAGGGTTTAGGGTTTAGGGTTTGGAGTTCGCCTTGAGGGGCTCCCTGGTGCCAGTGGCAGAGGCTGAAGTTGGCTCCAGGAGTTTTTCGTTGCTGCTGCAGCTAATCTCGACTGTGCTGCTGCTGCTGCCGTTGCTGCTGCTGCTGCTGCTTCTGCTGCTTCTGCTGCTGCTGCTGCTGCTGCAGGAGACGAGGGAGCCTCTGTTTACATTAATTTGGATTTGTACGAAAAGCCTCACCCGCTGATGCAGCGGCTGCTGGACCTTCAAGCCATTGCTGCAACAGCAGCAAACAGCAGCAGCAGCAGCAGCAGAAGGCAGGAGCAGCAGCAGCAGCAGCAGCAGCAGCAAGGGTCTCCTGTGGGCTGAAGAGTGCGGGGGGGTTATTTCGAGGGTCTATAAGAAACAGCTTGAGCCGGAATGCCCTTTCAAACCCTAAACCCTTGTAAACCCTAAACCCTTGTAAACCCTAAGCCCTCATCTCGTTAAACCCTAGGAAGCCTCAAACCCTGGGGAGCCCCAAACCTGGTAAACCCTAAACCCTAAGCCCTCCTTGTGCCGGCTGGCTTCCTCCGTTAAGTCTGACGGCAGGCCCCCGAACAGACGCTGGGGTTTAGGGTTTACTAGGGTTTAGGGTTTAAGTTTTAGGGTCTGGGGTTTAGGGTTTAGGGTCTAGGGTTTAGGGTTTAGGGTTTAGGCTTTAAAGGTCGAGGGCTCGGTTCCCGGTGTTTTTTTGACATTTTTGAATCTTTTTTGATTCTCTTTTTTTGATCTTTTACTTTTATTCTAATTGTATTTATTTTTAATTTTAAATTAATTCGTTTGATTTGATTGATTTTAGATTAGTTAATTTAAAAAAACCGATTTGAATTTAATTAATTTCATTGACTTATTTTAAAATTGAAAAAAATTGAAAAAGTCTTTTCTATTTTGCAGCAGCAAAAGCTCCGTTCGAATTAGCCCGAAGCCCAAAATCAGCTTTTTGATTTTTTATTTTCTTTTTATATTTATTTTTAATTTGTTTAATTTTGCTTTTCATTTCAATTTTGATTTCATCTTTAATTTTAATTACTTGATTTGCGTTTATTTATTTTATTTCTCAACCCTGAGAAAAAGCTTGGCGTTTGTAAACCCTAAAAAAGGGTTTAGGGTTCGTGAACCCTAAAAAAGGGTTTAGGGTTCATAAACCCTAAAAAAAGGGTTTAGGGGGTTTGGAATAGCTCGGGCTGGTTTTTGAGCCCCTGGAGAATCTCGGAAGTGTAGGAACGAGTGACTGCAGCAAGCGCTGTTTTAGCTTCGGAAGTCACTTTGCATTTAATTGCTTGAATTATTTGAAGAGGTCCGGGGTTTTGGACCTTGGCAATAAAAGAAAGGGTTTTGGCGTCAGTGATTTCAACCCCCAGCAGCAAAACCCCGTAGGCTGCGCAGTCGTCCGCGAGCGCCTTGAGCTGCTGCAGCAGTTGCTGGTGCTGCGCTGCAGCAGCAGCAGCAGCAGCAGCGCCAGCAGCAGCAGCAGTAGCAGCATTAG